TGAGAAGAGCCAAAAGACCAAAGAAAAAATGAAAGGGTAAAAACGAAATCACACTATACAATAAACAGTAACTAAAGAAGCAAACAAGGGGTAAAAAAGGAATTACACTGTAGAAGGAACGGTTTTAGTATGTGTGTGTGTGTGTGTGTGTGTGTGTGTGTATAATTTTTCTCAAATGTGTGAGAATGGTATTGCATAGATTGTTGAGTTGTATGTTGAGTTGAAGGTCTTCTGTATGTTGCAAAACCACTTCTTTTTATACAAGTGAATTCTATGATAGTCAAGTCTGCTGAAGTAAAGTTCTATCATAAATGTAACTCCTCAGCACACCTGGATACCCTTGGCACTTATCTCAGCAAACACCTATCATGCCAAGACTTTATTTCTATCCAGATTCGGCTTTTTCGACTTGGACTAGGACTCTGAATCTAGTCTCCTTCTACGCTCATTTCATTTTTTTATATGATCAGTCATAGGTTTTGATTCTGAAAATAATTTGAATCTTACCAAAACTCATTATGGTCCTTCAACAATCCTAACCCAAACAGCATTCGATCGAACAACTATCACAATCTGATCCTTTAACAATCCTAATTTCACTAAGACTCAGTCGAATTGCTGGCATTCTATTTCTGAGCTGAGAATGTTGCATGGACTGAAATTCATTATTGGGTTGAGAGTCACAGCCTTCCATCTTGATTTATTTACTCTCAGCCCATATCTGGATTTCATGTTTTACTGAATTTGATTAACATAGTGAATCTGCAGATAATATTGTTTAACTTTTTATTTTTCTTTGTCAGAACATGTAGGCAGCATGCTCGATATCATATCACATCTTCTAAAGTCAAACCTACTTTTCTATTATTTTTGTATGGTTAATCAGAAGGGTATTTATTCCACTATGATTTTCTGCAATTCTTTAATTTCCAATAGCAGCAATGCGGCCATACAGGAAACAAGGGATCTTTTGTGGTTCTGCATGCTTTAATTCCATATACTTGTTTAATCATAGATTCATAACCAGTTGTGAAAAATAAATAGGCTATAAATAATTGAAAAAAAAAAGAAAAAAAAAAGATGAACTGAATGGTCCAATCCTTTGGTCCCTAGACAGACGGAGTGTAGTTAACAAAATAAAAGTCGTACCCAGTGCACAAGGTTCCCGCTTTACGCAGGGTCTGAGAGAGGTGAATGTCGGCTAGCCTTACCCCCATTTATGGAGAGGCTGCTCCCAAGTCTCGAACCCGAGACCTACCGCTTATGGGCGAAGGTACTTGCCATAAGTTATTTTACATATTTGCAAATAGCCAACCCCAAAAGTAGAGAAAAAGAAATGAGATACCAGTTAATTGTAACAAATGGAAAATCAAACGAGGAACAATGTATTTAATTATACATGTTTTAACAATGCAATTCTCATTGTTTTGGACTCTAATTTGAGGAAGAACTTACTCAAACAACTTCTAATTAGCCCTTTTGGTTTTAATCAAAAGTTTCCCATTTTGTTGTAACTACAACTGAATCAAAATTCGTCTCTTGTTGCGGCTGCATCACTGGATTTTTTCGTACCGCAATTTGATTTTATCCCCATTGCTGCTAGATTTGGAGTTCTGATGCTTTAACATGTCCAGAATTTCTATGTACTTCTGAACTCTTGTCACCTTCAACTTTGTAAACCAACAATTAGAATAATACAAATAATGTGCAAGTAGAATACATTTTAAAGATGTTGAAATTTATAATACATGCACTCTTCTCTGCAATTTTAGATCTCTGTCGGCAACAATTCCATCGTTTAATCAACTCCATCATCAGAAGCTCAGTCAATTTCTCCACATCTGTCTCGGAAACTTTCCCACCTGTAGAAGCTGTTGTTTCCAAAGATGTGACCTATTTACAACAAAAAAGATATTAATAAAAACAATTCAGTAGATAGCGGTTAGGCCAGTTCGTCGCTGCACGCTTGCGCCCAAGTTCGAGTTCTTTTCCCCGCAAATATGATTCAATTTCATTACCTGGCCTACAAGCTTGTCCACTTCCAAGTTGATTTCGGCTGAGGATTTATAAGATTTCTCTGCATTTGAATTTCTGAGCTAGGCACCTTTTGTCTCTGCCCAAAATGTCTTCCACCAGCACAATCCTTGATCCTTGTTTAACTCTTGCCACATACTCTTTGGAGTCCCTCTCTTTCTTTTTGTATATTAGCTTCTGATCCAGATGGTGCAATTTCGTTGGCTCTGCCAACATTTTCTTCAACTCCCCTGCAAATTCAAAACCAAATTCAATTAAACAAAACAATTCCAAAACAAAAGTTTATGGATTCGAAATTTCAAAGTAGTACCAAAGCTTGCTTGGGAGCTGATTAGAATTTCGTGGTACGAAGAGCCATAATGGACGCTAATTTTGATTGTGGGGATTGAAATAGAACTGGGATTCGTCTCAACGGTTCGCTTTTGCACCAGCATTCCCCCCGGCCTGATTTCCAAGCCCGCACTATCGAGGCATCCACTGCCATCGTCATAAGAGCGCTTGCTTTCCGAAGAAGGCATTTTGTTCTTCTTTGACTTCATTGGCTCCATCTATAATCTATTTCTTGAACTTCTGAGGGTAAGACCAAGAAAAAAGAAAACTACTTGAACAAGAAACCTCAAGAGAAGCCATGAGTTTTCATGCGATGTTCTTTGCTTGGATTCAAAGTAACCCATCGTGGAATCAAAGAAAACCCAATGGTGAAAGAATTGGGAAGAAATGGTGCAAAACAAAAACAACAATTACAAGTAATATTTATAGCCTTTTTCTATTTACGACAATAGCAAAAGTAAACAGAGGATTAGACGAGCAGAACTATAAACTAAGTGAGACAGATGACGGAAAAGTGACCAAAACTTTGTCAAGAGTGAGAGATCTAATCAAAGCAATAGAGAAACAATGGAAAATGGTAAATAAAAAGGAGAGAAAACTAATGGCCAGCAGAGAAAGAAGGTGAAGTGAGTGAAGGGAATAAAAATTTTATACAAAAAATGGAAAAGAGGGGGTAAAGGGAAAAGTCCACATCAGTTTACGTGAACGTAAGGAGAGGGACAAAAAATAGAGAGAACCATTTGGATTTTAAGGTAAAATAAAACCAAAAATGGCAAATAACAATAAGCATTTTACGTGCAGAATTCAGATCTTTTAACTCTTTTTTTTTTCTTCTTTTTCAAGACTGTCGTGTGTGTTCATGCAAACTCAAATCCAACACCAAAACAAAAGAAATTAAAGCAGGAAAAGATTATACAACGAGATATATGTTTCTGTCCCCATATCAACGGGTAGACAACTGCATTGGTGTTCGTAATGAAAATACAACGCTATGTGGAAAGAAACCATGTCGTTACAACTTTTTTTTTAACAAACAATATTATTTATTCTAAAAGAAGGGGAGTGAGGCTCAGCCTCATAATAAGTTTGCAATAATGTGGTTCAAACTCGTTTTTAACGAGAATAAAACCTAAAATCTTTCATTTATAAATAAAAAAAATATCACTAAACTGTAGTACTAAATAAAATCATATTGTTACATTATTAATACAAAACGACACAATAATAATGAATTTGTACTATAAAAGTTGTTCTCCCCTGTACATAATTGAAAAGGAAAGCCAACGTAGAATTAAAAAGCGGAACATGCAAGGCCAACTAAGCAGAAAGAAAATCTTAGCCGGTTGGCACCCATCTGGTTGCGTAAATGTGGTCGTTCTGAGGGACATTACTGTCTTGTCACAAGAAAATAATTGGTATTTATTTATGAAGCTAAAAATTATTTTATTTTAGAGAAATACTAAGCTGACTCTAAAAACAGAACTTTACATGAATTCTCTGTCATCTCATATTTTAACGTTAATTTTCGTGCTATTATTATAAAGTATTGTGCCAAAATCATGAGACAATAAAAAGTTCATGAAGAATTTCATATTTAACATAATCTTCTTAACATTTCTCTACATTTTATAAAAGGTGCGACGCACTTTTTCATGTTTGAAGTAAAGCTTAATTAAATTAATAATCCACGTGACAGAGAGAGTAGTCAAAAGATAAACTCTCTCATTTTTGCACACCAAAGCGGTCTCTGCAATCTCATTGGTTAACACATCAATTCAAGTTCATCAAAATAAATACGAACATTTTTTTATTGGTCGATGCCTTTAACCAGACTTCAATTATACTATATTTTTACGATTAAATCTTTGATCATTGGGTCTTTAATTAAGGCTTTGACGCTGAAATGCTCGACTCTAAAACCGACATTGGTGCATCAAGCAATTATGAATCAAACCTAATTCCTCCAACATTGTCCCTCAAGTTTAATTTAAAAGATGTTCGTGTCGGTTCAACTGTAATATTGGCACCAACAATCTTATTTTCCAACACTGCTCTAAAAATCTTCTTCTAGCACCGTCTAAGCCTCGCCTAAGTGTTAGGCAACTAGCCACCGTCCCGATTAGTCCCTAAGCGTTTGAAAGTTAAGAAAGTGCACTTAGACCAGCTTAGGAATCTGCCTAGTTCCCCTAGGCACCTACCTAACCCACCTAAATCCACTTAGGCACCCGCTAGGTTTCAACTCTCACTTAGACAGAATATTGATAGCTTTCATTTTACATTTTATTTTTTCAATACTTAAATAAACACTCATTATATACTTGTTACCATGTTTTGGATATGTTCTAATACTTTATATTGTCATTTTATCTTGCAATTTATGTAAACAATTATGTGTTTTTATAAATGGGAATGTATTTATATAATATTTAATAAATTTACTTAAATTAGCCTAGTCTACCTATCCACCTGGGCGCTAGGCCCAAACTCACCGTCCGACTAGCACCTAACGTGTTTTAGCACCTTGTTTTCCAATAACATCTGTTTGGACAGCAAAATAATTGCTATTCCTAAGCTACTACAATTGCCTTCCGGATCGTTATTCGCGTGATTTCGCTTATTGAGGTTGACGCTACAAAAGATGAAACAGATGCTCTACTCAAATAAACATTGATTCGGAAGTTATCATGATCAACATTTTCGGTAGAACAGATGTTACAACCATTGTGAAACAAGGTGAAGTAAACTTGGAAAAGAAGTGCCTTCTTATCTCATTGCAGCAGACGACCTCACTCTTCCTTCCGGGGCTTTGATTTCGCAGGCCTTGGAGGTTTTATTACGTAACTCAGTAGGATCAATGCTACGGGAAGAAAGGTTCCGATGAAATGCACGCTTCCATACGAGGCCAGTGTTTCACGAAGGCTTAATACCTGTACCATGTGAGACGGATGCATGAGAAAATTTAAAGCATCAGAGGGTGGTATGTGTTCATGTACATGCGTGTGTCGTGGTCATGGTATGTTTGGATGACGTGCTCATATGCATGCGTGTCTTAATCGCATGTGTTCATGTACATGTGTGTGTCTAAAATGGCATGTGTATGTGCGAGAGACAGCGAGAGCAAGGACTAACAATGAAACCAACACAGGAGTAGTTCAGAACCAAGACAGTGTAAGCAAAGTTGATGAACACCAATATCTTCTTAACAACATCCATAGTTGGAGGTACAGCTTGCTGCCATCGGTAAATCACTGCTTGCGGAACAGGTAGAAAACGATGCAGATTAATTATCTTAAAAAAGGAATAATTAGTATATGCTTGCTTATTAAAGCACAGATAGTAATTTAAGGAAACAAAGAAATAAATAGTGAATTAGAAGCGGAGAGACCAATACCTCTTGATCCAGCAATCATCAACGCTGACTGAACAAAGAATATGATGTAGCCAGGATAGAGGCCCTGCAGTTCAGAAAATAACCAATATGATACAGAAAATTCAAGTTTGAACCGTGCGAAAAATCAAACATATTCCGGAGATAAGAGAGCACAAGGCTATGAAACAAAAGTAAGCCAACTAGTTAATGTAAGAGAAACTTAATGGGTCCAAGCACAAATTTTTGGAACTTGGCTTGACAACACTGCATGGTGAATGATCAGAAATTATGACGTTAACATTGCAAGTACATGAAACTATAAGGTCTGCACAATGAACTACCCTCCCACCCAAAATAAATATCATTTCACTTTAGCAATTTGAACATAAATGGGCACCAGACATTGGCACAACTAACGTACAATATAGACTGCCATATTTTTTTGTTGAAGAAATTGCCATCAATCATTAGAATGGTATAACTCCTAGGTGTTCTAGAAAACTATAGAAACGCATGTAATAACACAAGAAGCATAATTATGTTTAAAATAACACGTCACGGAAATCTATTCAGAGCCAAAAGTGGTGACATGAAACACAAAACTGGAGGGCATCTTGTTACCCCATCCCCACCCTACCAAATTCTACTCTACCCAGCCATCTATTTTCACCTAGTATTTGTTAAGGGCACAAAACCTACACACAAGATTTTAACGTAAAATGCATTGAACCATGTAGGTTATATAAACATTGAATTTCCCACACAATTTATTACATTGCAAAACTAAGAATTAAAAAGTGTACTGAATACTCTACTAGAGGAACAGTAAATCATCCTTTCGGTGCCTTAAAACAATCAGTCCCAGCATCCTTATTAGGGAACAGAACACTACAAAGTAACAAAGTTCACACATAAGTTACACGAGGAAACTGTTTATTTTTTATTTTTCTCATTTTTTAAATTATAAAAATGGAAAGAAATCCACTCTGTAGAATGAATGCATTGCAGCAGAGCTATTGTTTGAAGAAACAAAATCTAAAATGGACACAAAATCAGCAAATGACAAAAATACACATTCAGGATGAGGGTAAAACAGTTTATACTCACATGCCAAACAGCACTGACGGTCTGTGTAGCCAGCAACTGGAAGAAACCAGGCTTCTTTCCAGGTTTAACAAGCCTATCATAAACATCTACAGCAGGATAATATGTTAGTTAATTAAACAAAATTTGCGCTTTCTTGCTCACAGCTGAAAGTAGAAAATATCTCAGCAATGAAATGCAACAGGAAGAAAACTGAAGAAACTATTGACCAGATACCAAACTATATGATCAATTATTCATATAGTTCTTTGAATATAGAAAGCTTAAAACAGAATCCAACTCAGTCCTAACTAGGATTCATAGTTTGGATATGCAAAAATAGTTTCCTGGGAAAAAGTTGGGATTTTATGTTACTGACAAAAAAGAAAACTTAGGAAGCAAAAGAGATGCTCACAATGGCGAAGCCAGGTGCTGACTTGTATGTTCCAAACAAGTGGTAACTGAACTGAACTCTTTGCAAACTCAACGCCTATAATATCAACATTTTTTGCACGATCCCATCGAGGTTTTGGTGGTGAGGACTCTGTCCAGCCACTGAAACCGAGGCCAGAAAGAATGATAGAAGCCTCTGATATTGACCAAATGAAATAATATTTCCACCTTGCTGTGAATCCAGACATATACTGGTAGCTCAGTCGTTTCCAAAACCCCCATTCTTGGTATATGGGCTCAGTAAATCTTGACAAAGGAAATTTGGGTACCAAATATAAATACAAGGCCATACAGAATGCAGCTTGGAGAAGAGCTCGAATTGTTGCTCCATAGGGTGATGGAGACGGTCCTTTCTCTGAGTGGCTCCATATCTGAAAATGATAATTAATAAAAGCCAACGTATGAGAAAAGATCAATTCAAGAAAACAGAACTGAGAAGAAGGTTAGACACTTGGTACATAATAAGCATACCCCTTTTCCTTCTGTCCAGTCAAGATAATCCTTTATTTCATAAACTGGACCAGCAAAGTGACTACCACAGCAGAGGCAGTAGCCAAAGTACTCGATCAAGGAGGGTAACTTAATCAACCGGTTTTTCTTCTGAGACTCACGCAGACCTTCCTCTTTCAAAACCCCATCATTGTAATTGATTGCACACGAGATGACCTTCAGTGTTAACACCATTAAGGCCCCTAAGTATGAGAAGGAAGTTCAAACTTAGCTAATGCACATAAAAAGTAAAAGTGCTTAGACAGATATGGCCATTCAAAATGTCAACTATATACATTTCTAGTCGTGTTAAGAATTCATTAGAAGAGTCCATGAATTCTAGTAAAAAAATAAAAAAGAAACGGAAGTCATCAATGACCAAAAACAGAACCCGCCATTTTCTTACAGGAGAACGACACTCATTGCAACCTGGTAAAGAGCAGAAAATTAAGGAGGAAACGCAAGCTGGCTAGAAAGGCTGATATTGTGCTTACCAGTTGCATCAATTCCTCCTTCCTTCCATGCGTCCCCACTCATGTAAAATACATGGCTACACATAGAGACACATGTTTACACATGATCAAGAATTATCAAATAAGACCTTTAATAAATCCTAGATACATAAATATTAAAATTATCGCATATAGATAGTGTTATCCCTTCAATACTGTTTAGGATTATTGAAACAATGTTAGCATCAACAAAGAGCACAAAGATCCCTATACAATTCACATACTGTTAATGGTGTCATCATGGTTTCTTGCAAACATCATAAGTGATTGAAAGTTGAAACATTAAAAATGCATTTTAAAGTTCAAAGACATCATTTTGGGACAAATCAAATCAGTAAAACTTAAAATGTAACGCTCTTCACTGATTGCACATAAAGAATCAGAATTTTCATGAAATTAACAGGTTTTATACATGCGTCCCAAGTTAGAAACTTTCGCCTCACCTAAATTATTGTAATCATTGCGAACTCTCCCCCTCCCCTAATAATAATACAATTTTTTAATTAAAAAAAAAATGTTACAACCAAAAATAACACGAATTAATTGGATTTCATGACAGTTACACAAGCATTGTCAAATTCAATCATCCATAATTAAAAAAAAATTAATAACACTACAAATCATAACATAACCATACCAATCTACCAACATGAACTATCCAATAACAATCTTTGAAAAATCAATAAAAACCCGAATAAATTACAAAATCAGCGACACAAAATAATACTATCCACCAAATTATTCTCACAAAACTCGATTAACAAACTCACAAATAAGGAATCAAATTCTTCAAAATTACGAATCGGAATCAAATATTAGTCTTCGTGTTTTGGAAACGTACCAGCCGATGAGGTAGCCGAAGCCCAGTACGAAGGTAATGATTCCGCAATGGTTTCGGGCGAAGACCATGGAAGCATAGCCGAGGAGCATTGGGACTAAGAAATGGAGGTTGGAAGAGAATCCGAAGGAGAGGTAAGAGAGGAGAGCGCCGGAAGCGGCGGCGTAGAGGTGCTTGGCGGGTGGACTGGGGACGAGTCGCCAGATGAAACTGACGGGGATGGTGGCGACGAAGCAGAGGAGGAAACGGAGCACCGAGACCGAGACGCCGATCCCGGCGGCCATGGATTCCATCTCCAGGGCCATGGCTTGTAGTATCAATCTGCAAATCGAATTGAGAAACCTGTCCTGACTTTTATATACGGAAAATTAGAAGGAGAACAAAATCCATTTTTCAGTTTGGACTTGCTGAGTGAATGACCGATATGCCCCTCGGCGGACTTTTTACTGTTTGCGTGGGAGTCAGTGTTTCACACGATTTGGATTTGGTGATGAAAGCTGCGGGGGAGAACGCTGGTTGGTTGTCTGTTGGAGCCGAAATGACGATAGTGTCCTTGTACGGTGTCTTTTCCTATTCCGTAACTTCTTGAAGTCATCGAAAGCATTTATCCGCTGCTGGCATTTTCTGGTTGATGGATTTTGAGTCTCTCCATAATATGGGTGCATTTATACGGGTTAAAGTCATTACTTTTAATCGAATATGCTTTTAAAAAATATATTTTTAGAAAAAATATTTTTGGATATCAAAAGCACTTACAGTACTTTATGCAAGAAGCATCAATTATGTGCTTCTTTAAGGAAGCACTTTAAGTACTTTTTAAGGATTTACTTGCATTTTTACTAAGGATTGGTCCTAAAAATATTTTCACAATAAACGTTTTCAATCATTTTAAAAGGGGGTGTGATATCCACACACCCCTTTTTACTTCTTCCACACCTTTTTAGTTTTCGGCCGTCGGATCGGATGAATTGAAGAAGATCAATTAACAGAAATTAACAAGGGATGTGTGAGAAGTAAAAAGGGGTGTGTGGATAGCACACCCCTTTTAAAAGCACATCAGAATGAGCTTTAAATCAATGTAATATATTTTGAGTTCCTACATATAATATATGTGCATTTTATGCGCATTTAATAATATCGGTGCACTTTTTTTCTCATTTCACAAATCAAAAAGGTTTCAAATGGAAAAATCCCAATCTGTTTTTCACTTCTCTTACAGGTTTTTTTGGCTGTATGTTCAAGTTAAAATGCCTCTCGCTTGTTTCTCTGAAATCGGCAGGAAAATTTAAAGGGAATAAATCTCATTGAAGTCATCGAAAGCATTTATCAATGTCTGGCATATTCTTGTTGAATGGATTTCTAGAGAATTAAGTTTATGGTGAACTTAAAGATTACTTAGCTTACGTGACGTGCAAGTTAAATAGTTAATAAGTTAATTATGTCATTTTGTTCAATGCGAGGCATACAAACTTGTCGGTCAAGCTCGTTCAAGGAGTAAATGAATGTTGTTGCACCGATGGGCGTGCTGATGACTTCTAATCTTGCGATTGCGGTTGAGAAAGGAACACGTCTCGGTCTTTGGGTTCTAGATCTTGAAGATGAGGCTGCTAGTTACTATGAAGTTCAATAAACATTCGACTTCCAGTGTGCCAAATGATGTAACCTGGTAACACCCCAACTCGTCAAAAGGTTAGTGGCACGACCTCTTCCAACAAGGACTTAAATATTCCTTGTTGACCAAGACTTGGATAGATAATCAGTTGGTCTTGAAGTAGTATTGTTTATCCAAACAAAAGGTGTTCATCAGCCGCCTGATTCTATGGCTCCAGTGCTATATATCCAAACAAAAGATGTCGCTGATTGCCTTCATAGTGCTATTTATCCAAACTGAAAATGTGTTGGCGATAAAAACAATAAAATAAAATTTTCAAGAGGTTTAAGAGGTTTAGCGTAGAGTGTGAGTTTGCACAGGGTAGATTTTTGTGTTGAGTTTAAGGGGCTTTGAATGATGCACTCCTTTCTCTATTTATAGTAATAATCTCCTACATGACCGAAGTAGAATCCCACTCGAATTATAATTCCTCGAACTCTCCTTCATCCATTCTGAATGGGCCTCGGTCTATCCTAACAATTTAGGACTCTGAACTCGGCCTCATTATCTTCCAGATTCAATCCCCAATTCTCAATAAATGCTCCTTGATTCTCAAGGCATTATCGACATCTAAAGACTCCTTATTGTATAAGGACTAGGCCGACTCTGAAACTAACTCTTCCACGCGACTTCTACTTTGGGCCGAGCTCATAATTTCTCTCGGCCCAAAACTATTAATTTGAGTCCAAATAGTTTTGTACCGACAAAATTGTCCTATCTGAATTCATTAGTTTATCCTCATTTATCTGAATGATCGGTCTTAACTCAGGAGGAAGAACTAGTAATATACATAAAACCAAAAATTTCCTTCTTCCAACTTTTCAATCTTCCCATTCATTAACCGTGGGGCCCTCTTCCCCTAATTCTTTTTAGATCACTACTAGAACAATTTCAACTTGTAGTAGCTTCACTGTCTTCATAAGAGTTTTCAAGTCTCTAATCAGAAACTGTGTAGCTAGCTCATCATGGGCATCCAAGAAGATTTCAAACTTTAACTTTTGAGACCAAGAAGCATAGTTTGTCACATCAAAGTATGAAGGTGCATTGCAGGAACCAACAACTCTATCACGTTTCATGGTAAGATTCACCTAATACCAACAAGTTTCCAGTGATAATATGTATGTTACGAGCTGACTCTTTGATGCCAATTATAAGTAGTATCAGGCGAAATCGCTGCAATAATATGTAATAATGGATAACATAGTAACTATTTCTACCCAAAACCACCCCAAAATAACTCAAATACACAAGAAAAACTATACAAACATTTAATAACATACATGAACTTGACTAGTCACAATATCATAGTCAAACATGTACAAACCATACAGACGTCAATTGTCAGAGACAAATGAACTCTACATTATGATATACATCCAAGATTAAAAAAAATCATTTAACTAAATATTTCCAACAACGGTTAAGATTAAAAGAGGTGTTAGTCACACACAAGGATTGTACCTTAAAAATTCTTAACTGGTAAAAAATCGAGAAAACTTTAGGGATCTCCATCCACTGGTAGAAAACAAGTTCATATAGAGAATCGCACGCACAAAAACTCAATTTCCAAGTTATACTAAAGGAGCAGCTTATACACAAGGATTGATCTTCACAATGGTGGCAACTTTAGCTCGAACTCTTCACTTGTGGCACCAGTGATATGAATAAGACTTAAGATGAGATGCAAAATGTGAATCTAGCAACAAACAAATCTCCTCAATCGAACATCAACAGATTGAGAGGATTTGATATGGATCTTTACTAATGTTACGGTTAGCACTAGCTAGGAATTGACATTAGGTTAACGTTATGGTCAGCACATAGAAACTTGACAAGCTAAAGATAATCAGCCCGGTTGCAGTCCTCAGCTAAAACGCAGAGCCGTGCAGCGTGCTTGTTGACAAGGAGAAGGATTCTCTCCCCTCCTAATCTCTCTCCCCTTTCCTCCCCTCCTACTTGAACGGTTACGGTTAAATCACGTAAACAATATTATTATTTTTTATAGAAACAATAAGACAAAAAATAATATGTGAGAAGAGGGAAGAGAAGATGATAGGAGTAAAATGAGAGAGAATCCTACTCCTCTCGATAACCGTTGCACAAGAAGATGTTGATGAACAAAGGATCAAACAATTGAAAGTGCATAACTGCATATGTTGCGCAGAAACATAAACGCATTAAGGAAACCTACAAGTGTATACCGGCGTAAATATTTTGGGCCTAATTGGATTAATAGTCCCCGTAGTGATAGGGTAGTTAGAAGATAGCCCATGTAAGAAAAAAAGAAAACTATAATTCAAGCCCATGAGATAAAATCTGTTAGGATTTATGCCCAAAATTGAAGAATTTTCTATAATTATTAACACGTGAGCCGTACATATTAGGCTAAAACGGAACTCTACATACACATATTAAGCTAAAACAGATTGTTAACACATGAGGTTGGCTCACATGCTAATAATTAACAGAAATTTGACAAAATTTTCAATTTTAGACATAGATCCTAACAAACTTTACCACAGAGGCTTAAATACTAATTTTTTTACCACGTGACTATCTTCAAACTACTCTATCACCACGAAGACTCCACGAAGACTATTAACCGATTAAGCCAATATTTTGATTACAAAATCCCATACGAAGCAGAACAGAAGCCCTTAACTTGGAAGACAGCCAGACTTACAAAATCTTAATCCACAGTCACTAATTAAATTAATCAAACCAAGAGATGAATTTACAGATTTCTTTGCTTAAATACACAGGATACAGGACACATTCGCTATCTAATTTCGCTTTCTTCTGAACACGACCTGACCTGACCTACCTCTATGATACAGCGCTTCCTACCCGATAAAAAGCTTACGCGCAAACTAAAAATGCTTTAGCCTTTCTCTAAATTCGCTAGGGTATATAAGTACAGAGTCTAAACAGAGACCGCCTTTGGTGTGGGTGCAATCAATCTGGGTCATACAGAGTTTAATCTTCGTTGATGCATTCGGCTTCTCCACAACAAAGTCCCCAACATGGTAGTAATTCCATTTTCCAGGTTCGGTTAAAAAGCATTGAGACGAGGCATAGTGACCTTCTGAAGTCCAAAGCTGGAACCTCACAGGTTTTATGTCCCAACCGTGGACATGCTCAATGTTGCAAACTCGGCGACCAAACCTCTTCTGAGAAGACCGTCCCAGCTGCAACCTGAAGAATAGGCTGTATGTCCCGACAGGAAACGGGAACTCAACTTCCCCATCAACTTCAAACCACCATATTTGCTGAAGATATGCAACTGAGCAAAATCTGTGTTGAAGCAAAGAAAAATTATGAATTAATTCCACAAATACTTGTAGTTAAAAGGTAAATAGGCAAAGCATCTTATTCCAGTGAGGCAACCTCAATCTGAAGACTCAAGAACCAGGGGACTTGGGGGCATCAGAGCCACAACAGAAGTAAGCAATCCACAACCCCTCGGTTTATTTCACATGAACACATTAAGATGCATTGTATTAGTCATGAGCCCAAATGAGAACCAGCATAAGAATAACCATAAAAATACACACCAACCTCGTATTCTATATGCTTTGGGTTTCATTTTGTAATCGCGTTTAGAAACCTTTTGTAGGACAAAATCAACTTGTAGGAAGGCAACCATTAATGCAACAGTAGAAACAAATTCATAAAATGGCTTGATAGCAATTCAAATACGCTCAAATCCAGGAATAATCTCAAATTTTTCTCAATACTGGGAACTTTTAATTTTTGAAGAGTTTCACTTGCTTTTAAATAAGCTGAAAACGAGCCATTTCAATATCAGATGCTTCAACTTCTGACAAGCTTAAATAACATCAACTTCACGAAGGAACCATGTGCGACAAAAACTTTGTAATCTAAAGGGACCGGGCACATCGTCCTCAAATAAGATATTAGCCCATTCTCATTATTTTCTGTAACCAAATAAACTTACATATTTATAGAATCCTCCCTCCTGTCCTTTCAAGAGCAGAAAGGAAATACCTCTACATGCAGATAATGAGATAACAGATTATGTTTACCCAAACAGTTAACATAGATCATTAGAATGATTGCGATCATATTGAAAAAGGTGATCACCTCGAAAAAACGAGATTGCCACAAATTCTTTTTTATTTTTGGCATGCTTGACCTGAAAAACTTCAAGGGTCATTAACAAACCACATACAATCACAGCCTCAAACTTCCATACCCCAGAATCATGCATTAAAATCGCAATATTATTCAGAAAAGCCATAAAGTACCATCAATCCGTAACATACAAATTTTCACATTTCTCCAAAATCCAATTACTAAAAAAATGTCATTGTTCATACCTAGATTCTTCAGTTGGAATATGATTCCAATATCTTCGATCATCAATGCCGGTAATTGCTAATCCCTTCGACGAAATTGACAGGCAAACCGATCCTGTACTTTTATCCAGCCAAACTGTCTGCACCCACAACACAAAATCTATCAAACACCGCACCAAATCCAAAAACAAAAGGATAAACCAACAAACAAATTAATAAATTTAAAAGATGAAAAATAATAATTCTTACGGAAAGTCAATTAGTTGAATTTCTAGTCCCGGAACATGAAAATATCTAAACTTTCAATAATAAATTTTCATCTTTCAATACGTTTTCTGCTAAACAAAAACCGAAAACGAAATTCTAAGTTATGAGAAAACATAGAAACCAATCAAAACCCACACCACAATGATGCAATTCAATTCAAAGGCTCTAACTTTCCCAATTTTCCCACGCTTTCTCGGCACCCAAACAGAAAATAAGAAACAAAACCCGGAAAAACAAAACGAAAGATGACTCACCTTGGTACCATCATCGAAAGAATTAGGCTGACAAAGCCTCGTATAAACATCTCTCTTACCCAGATTTTCCAATCCATCGCCGAACACTTTACCCACAATAGTTTGATAATTCGACGGCAATTTCGATTCCCAAATGAAATCAGCCCAAGAAGCGCCGCGAAACGCCCGATTCAGATTTGCCAATTTGCAAATCTCCGGCGGGTCCAAATACCCCAGAATCAGCGCCGCGCAGCTCTCCGGAAGATCGCCGAGACCGGGTTTCGATGGCAACGATAGGACTGCAACTGGGTTTTCCGATTTGGAGACAGAGGAGAAACTGGAACCCATAGTTAAACAGAACACAGCAATTGTAGAGAGATAGAGAGAGAGAAAGCTTGAAGAATTGAGGAGAGAGAAGTGGGCATGGTGGGAGTGGGCATGGGGGATTTATTGGTGGCAAAAAGTACGAAACTTGGTGATGATTTGTAGAGGGGAGGTGACGCGTGGAATACAAGCTGTGGGAGGATTGTGTTTGGCTGTTTGTTTCCCGAGAGAAAAGGAGGGAGAGAGAATTGCGGTGTCTGATGTGTAAGAAAATATGAGGAGAGGGAGAGAGAGCATCATCTTGTCGTTGTTTTACTTCTTTATTGGGATTTTTTGTTAGCTGTGGACTTGTGGTTGGTTCGCACAGAAAACCGTTTCTGGTTTTCGAATTTATCCCTTTGGATTTGGTTTCTCCAACAAGATCCTTTTGGTGAGGATCCTGATGATCTGTAAATCGTGTATATTTTTCGTACCTCGTATAATTAGTTTTTGTCAAGTACTGTTTGTATTTAATTTTAAATAAAAATATTTAAAATAATTTCTGACCGCACGATGTACGATAAACAGATATAATTGACGGATTCTTAAAACCCTCACAAAGACAATCCGGTGAGGATCCGGATTCTTGGTTTCTGACTTTGTTTTCTTTCTTTAATGGGGGTGATTGAGCTTGACAACTTTCAAGTTCACCATCGGTTAATGAGACTAGCCTTAAAACCCACCTCATCTCAACAACTGCCTTTGGAATTTTCCCTGGGTTTAGAATTATAATGGTAAGTTGATCAAACACCAGAGTCTACCAAAATGGTTTTATTTTTTTTATACATGACATTTCTTGCCGTCCTTGGCAAGTTGGCATTAAAAAATGACTCGATAGCTAGGCAATTAATCAACAAATAAAAAAGCTCTCGATCGAGTTCGAGTGTTTGTCGACAAAAACATAAAATGCTAAGTAGCTCTTCTTTCATTCAATTGGAAATCCATTATATAACACCAAATTGGGAGCCATATGATCCACACTCATACCATTTAATGAAAAAAAAGCCATCATTCCTACCCCTAGTATTTTTTTTTTCTAAGAAAGAGGACTAACTGGTAGCTTTGCTACAACAGTCCACCTTTTTAAGAGTTGAAAATATTCACATAGGTATTTCAGTCTTCTCCTGTCCACCATCTTGTAATTCACACAACATTAGGAATCGACCCAAGATGTGTGTTGTAAATTGAGAGTTTCAATATTCATGCAACATCATAATTGTACAAGAGTCCTAGTCAAAATATATATACAAGAAGAAAGGAACCGAAGCCTATGGCTCCTTGATTTACGCCTAGTCCTAGTCAGCTAGTTACAATCCCTTGAAATAAAGACCAAAGATAAAGCCTACATGCTGAAAAAGATGATGCCATGCTGCATAAGCTGATGCCATGATGCACAGTGCACAATACTACTTTTTCTACTGAAAAGCCTGCACAAACAGTACTACTTTTTCTTCCAATACTCCCCCTCAAGCTGGATCAAAAGGATTGATTGATCCAAGCTTGAACAAAATGCGTTGAAATGCAGTGAAAGACAGCCCTTTGGTAAAAATATCTGCAAGCTGATCATGGCTTCGTGTGTAGTGGGTATCGATAACGTTGGACTGAACTTGTGCTCGAATATAATGACAGTCAACCTTTATATGTTTTGTGTGTTCGTGAAAAACTGGATTTGATGCAATGTGCATCGCAGCCTGATTATCACTGTACATAGACATTGGCTGACTATGGGAGAAGCCTAAATCCAGGAGAAGACCCTTGAGCCAAATGAGTTCGCAGGCTGTAGAGGCCATGGCGTGATACTCAGCCTCGGCGCTAGACCTTTCAACAATGCTTTGCTTCTTGCTTTTCCAGGTAACCAAATTGCCTCCCATAAAGGTGCATAAACCAGTGGTGGATTTACGATCAATGGAGTGCCCGCCCAATTAGCATCAGTGTATCCTGAAATCCATGTATGTCTATTAATTTCATCAATATTCCGCGTCCAACATAACCCTTTAAATAACGAAGGATGTGATGAACAATTTTGAAATGAGCCATGGTTGGAGAATGCATGAATTGGCTAACAATACTCACCGCATAAGAGATGTCAGGACGTGTAATGGTAAGGTAGATGAGTTTGCCAACCATTCTTTGATAGTAGCTCAGATTAATGATTGGATCATCATCAGGTTCCATCTTAAGATTGGTATCCAAAGGTGTTCAAGCTGGCTTGCAATCCGTTATTTCAGCTTCTTGAAGAAGATCAAGAACATACTTGCGTTGATTTAAAAAGAAACCTTTACGAGAGTGTGCCATTTCAATTCCCAAAAAAATATTTGAGATTGCCAAGATCTTTGATGGAAAATTGGTTGCTGAGATATTGTTTGAGGAAGGTGATTTTTGAAACGTTATCTCTAGTCACAATAAGATCATCCACATAAATGAGCACCACCAATTTTTCCGCTGAGTTAGTTCGAACAAACATTGAGGAATCAACATGACTCCTACGAAACCCAACTTGTTCAAGAACAAAACTAAGCTTAGCGTACCAAGCTCAAGAAGACTGCTTTAGACCATAGATTGCTTTGTGGAGTTTGCACACCAAATCTGTGTCATTGGATTAAGAATAACCTGGAGGAAGTTTCATATAAACCTCTTCTTCAAGGTCACCATGCAAGAAGGCATTCTTAACGTCCATTTGAAAAAGAGGCCATGCATGATTAATTGCAACTGATAACAACACCCTAACTGTGTTCATTTTTGCAACCGGAACAAATGTCTCCTTATAATCCACACCATAAGTTTAAGTGAACCCACGGGCAACCAAACGTGCTTCGTCTCTCTCAATGGTGCCATCTGAGTTAAACTTGGTCTTATACCCAACGACTTCCCAATGCTTTCTTATCCTTGGGAAGTTTGACAACCGTCCACGTATGGTTCTCGTGGAGAGCTTGAAGCTCTTTGGCCATGGCTTTTCTCCACTCAACATGAAGATTAGCCTCCTGAAAGGTTTGTGGCTCACGGACCCCAGTGATAGTTCTTAGAAATGCAGCATAGGTAGGTGAGAATTTGTTATAATCAATGGCATTAGTCAAGGGATACCTGACTATATAGGTTACATAATCAAGTAACCTGGATGACGGGTGCCTTTCTCGAGCAGGATTGCGACGGACAACATCGAGTTGATCTAGGGAATGAACTATTGAATGAGCCTCAGGATTTGAACTGGTGGTACTAGTAGGAGTGACTTGAACTTCAAGTGTTTCCTGTGCATTGGTGACATCTTGTTCAGTTTGCATTTGTTGGGATATTGACAATGCAGGATCACTAGGAGAAAATGTTGGTGCATCACAACCAGAATATGACACATGGAAGAGTTCACTTAGATGCTCCCCCTGCCGAGAATAATCTATAGGTCGTGAAAAATAAAGAGTGCCTTCATCAAACTTAACATCCCTTGAAACCACCATTTTTTGAGTTATGGTTGTAGCATCGATACCACTTTTGCGTGGATGAGTAACCTAGGAAGACACATTTTGCAGCTCTAGGATCCAATTGGTCACGGTTTGGGGCTTGAATATGAACAAAACATGTACACCCAAAAACCCTCAAATGCGTCAAATTGAGTTTTCTTCCTTTCAAGACTTCGTAGGGTGATTTGAAGTCCAAAACTTTACTAGGTAATCTATTAATGAGATAGGTGGCTGTGAGCACTCCTTGGGACCAAAACTTATTTGGGACATTCATATTGAACATAAGTGCTCTAGTTTTCTCAAAAAGGTCCCTATTCTTTCTCTCAGCTACCCCATTTTGTTAGGGTGTTCCAACACAACTTGTTTGATGTAGAATGCCATGCATGCTCAAGTACCGTGACATGTTATGGGACATATATTCGGTGCCATTGTCTGATCTTAAAACATGAATGTGTGAAGAAAATTGAGTGGTGACAAGTTTATGAAAATCTTTAAAAACATTCACAACTTCACTTTTAAGTTTCAAAAGATACAACCAAGTGATCCTTGTGAAATCATCCACAAAGGTTACAAAATATTTGTATCCATCGAAGGATTCCAAAATGGGTCCCCAAATATCAGAATGCACGATTTCAAAAGGATTACTAGCTCTTGACATAGAGGAAGTAAATGGTAATCTAGCAAACTTAGACAAGTGACA